AACAAATAGATCTCATTTTTCCGTGCGTGTGTACTCTAATAGATACACAGATGACGTCAAATGTAGTGAGAACAAAAAAGTATGCACGAGACGCAGTCGAGTGCGTGACTGTTGTTCTCACTACATTTTGACGTCATCTGTGTATCTATTAGAGTACACACGCACGGAAAAATGAGATCTATTTGTTTTATACAACAAACAATTAGTTTTGACGTAATCCGTGTATCTATACTTTGATAACACACGAAAGCCAACCAATCAAAACGTCTGATTTTACTGAAAAGTTGTATAAAAAGAAATAGATTTTGTTAACCTCAACAACTATCAACATTGATTTTCTGCAGTTTTTGTTAAACCTGAGCTTTGTTGTCAAAAAAAATTGCTTATACCTTTTGGGGTTTTGAGTCGATACCTGAATTAATTAATGTACCTTTTAAGGTCATTTTTCAATCCATCCTGGTCGAGCATACTCCAGATACCTACCAACTTTTATAAGGGTTTCCCCCTGGGGAAATTCTTCAGAATGAGGACAATGTAGAGATTACTGATTGGTGCATTACCTTCAGGTTGTCAATCATATGGAATTTTTGTCTGAACAATCACAGAGGCTGATAGTAATCATAGCATCATTAGGGGATGGGAAGGTGTTAATTGTCTTTGTTATATGTATTTATTATTGTATGCATTGTTATTTCAGGCTTTGCTTTGCTTGTTTTTCCAAGATGCAGCCTCTCAACTTCACCAAAGAATCTACCAATACATGTAATACTTTTTGAATATTATATTTTGTAAGCATTTTAGACTGGTATTTTTGATAAATGAATGATTTTACTGGGAAGAAGTGTATCATTGATTATAGAATGTTGTTATGTGGCATAGCCATAGAAAGTTGATTATTCTGTCAATTAACTTGTGCAAAATGTTACTAATAAAATATATAGTGTTGACTTTTGGTTTGTAACCCTGAAAATGACCACGTAGGTCAATACAATTTAACTTATGCATTATTAATGAATTTGTTAATTTGTATTAAACACCAAGGTTGATGTAGCCATATGACTTTTGAATTTTGTGTAATAAGACACAATTAAAGGGAAAAGTACTGGTTTGGAGGGGGTAGGGGGGGGGGGGGGGGGGTTGGAGGTTGAGGCTTAATGATGGTGGACAAACTCCTTTTATCATAATAGAATACATTGCTTTGGAAATGCACAGCATTATATTGATAATATTTACAAATCTTCTGATTTTTAGATTGAAAAATCAGGATGCCCTAAAACAAAAGGGTGTTTTTCATTCCCTGAGGACTGCAAGTCGTCCAAAGACTGTGATTACCTGGTCACTTACCTTCCTGGAAAAGAAAATGTCACATTTTCAGTCAGTGCTAAAGGTGAATATGTTGCACTTGGCTTCAATGATAAACCTGAAATGGTAAGTAAAGCAAAACTCAAATCCATTGATTAAATTAGAGCACAAATCAACAATGAAGAACAGAGAGCTACAATACACTTGGTTGTCCAAGATAAGAACTAACATATAATAGTATTTACTAGGATTGGAAGTCAAGCCATTTGATGATAACAACCATATAACCAAATCTAATCTGTACAATGATCTGGAACATTCAGAACTAATTAGCATATTTTTGTTACCATATATGGAAGTTACAGCTCAATTCAGAGTAGTACTGGTCCTTTAATAGAATAAACCTATTGTCTGGGTTTTATAGGGAATTTTTCATTTACATGTATGCTCAACATAATAATTATTGTGGAGCCGTACATAGCTTGCAGAATTTTGGAAGCATCAAGAAAAAAGTTCAAGAACTGTACAGTTGTAGTTACTAGATGCTTTTGCCATAGTTTGACTGCATTAATTGATATGTTTATATATATGTATATACAGCTGTTTGCAATAATTCTGACCCCCTCTGCCATATTTCATATACATCAAACTGACCTTAAATATTATGGGATATCATGACTGATATATTTTTTGAGTTGCCCAGAATGAGTACTTTCTCAAAAAAATATCAGCATTGGTATCCCATAATTTCTAAGGCTACTTTTGATATATATGAATATTAGTGTAGGGGGGTCAGAATTATTGCAAATAGCTGTACATGTATATTATGTTTATATTGCATTCTAGGGTGGTACAGATACAGTCATTTGTTTCAAAGCACGTATTGGTTATGCCATAGCTCACTTTAGTCTTGTTGGTCATGACAGTCCTCAATACGATCCTGCAGACAGAGCTTCTCTTGTGAGTATATGACCACATCCTCCTCGCTGACCATGATTTTCTTGATAAGACATGTTGTGTATGACTCAAAGCATGAATGCATCCCTATGAGTTGTATTAGGATTTTAAGCCAGGCTCAAAAAGTTTAGATAAGGTTCCACTAATCTAGTTGTATCAAGAATAGCCAATAGGTAGGTACAATTTTGTCTTGTGCATCAAGTCACATCCTGGATATTGGCCGTCAAACCAGTTATCACAAGGCTTCATTAATAAAGAGGTTTTTTTTATTAATTTTTCATTAACTGACTTGTTTTTAAATTAGCCAATCATTTTGCTATAACTCACAGGGAAACTTGATGACAACCAGGAGATTTTTCAGATAATGTATTTTTTTTTTTTTTTGGTTCAGTATCCTAGTCATCTGCGCGGTATTTCATGATTTGCCTGGTCCACAGTATCCTGCAGCTAGATTGCGAGCAAAGTTGCAGAAAATACAAATAAAAAAACTAAAGGTCTAACCCTATAGGAAAACTGTCAAGACCTCGGGCAGTGTTTTCCGATATGGACTTCCCAGCCGGTAAATAACATATATTTATAAATGTTTTGTTAGGCTCCACAAGGTATGAAAGGACTTGATGTATCTTACGAGGATGGTGTAATCAAATGCAGGTATTCATTGTTCAAAGAAAATAAAAATAACAGTTAAAATCATTCGCAGCTTTTGTCCTTTCAAAACTCAGTTATGTACAAAAGAAGGACATAAAAGGCTCGTTTAAAGCGATTTTTGCAGTGCGATTTTTGCAACCGCCACTTTGTTCTCTCTCACCTCAAATCGTATGTGCAGTCCTGCGATTGTCGTGACGATTTTCTATCAGCGCAAGTTGTAGTTAACTTTCAAGCATGTTCCAAACTCAGGCAATTGTCGCGCAACAAGTGCACTGCAATAATTGCAAGTGTAAAAAAGAAGAAGGACATCTTGTCCTGTGTTTGTCTGGTCATTATGCCAAGCCTTGAAAATATCTTCAGTTTTTTATGATTGTGTGTCAGGTTTGAGAGACAAAAGGATCCAACGAAGTACATGAAGTACGACCTGAACAAGAATCTTTACTTGATTTTTGCAAGAGGGAAATCCAGTGGTATGTACTATTAACATGCACAATATACACAATGTTTATAACTGTTGATTGTAAAGTACAAGTGAGTAACAGAAACTGTTTTGTTTTAGGAGAATTTATCAAGGAACATTCCTGGAAAGATACATCTTGGAAAAAGGTTAATGTCTCAACACTTCTAGAGATTGAAGGCAAAGAATTTGATCTTCTACTGGCTCATGGTAAAGACTGTAGTTACTCATTCATTATTGGCCATACTCTCTGCCTTTACTAACTATTGTCATCATTACTGTCACTGAAAACCTTTTGTTGTATAATAAGAATATCCACATCGCCACCATAATAATAACATGACATTCAAGGCTGTCTCTTATGTTTTAATTCATATTCAGCTATTTCAGAAAATGTTGAAGACTGAATACTGTATAGTGTACATGTATTCTAAGACCAAAATACATTGTTACTTATAAAGGTTATGTTAGGTTATGCTACAAAATGACAATTAAAATTTTAATAGCTTTCCATATGTTCAAGTTCTTGACTAAACAGAGCTTGTACAGTCATTCTCCTGGCAACATGACACCTCCTTTTCAATGGCGATAGAATGACTAATAATGCATTTCAGTCTTCGATTACACCATTTTTGTTATTCAGTGTTTTCAAATTGCTGTACAAATGTGCTTGTTGTTTTAGCTGGTCTAATGTTCCTTGCCTGGATTGGTTTTGCAACTGTTGGTATTTTTACATCACGCTACAGGAAGTCATCTTGGGGTGACAAGAAACTACTCAACAGTGATTTGTGGTTCAGGGTGAGTGGAACAAAGTTACCAATCTGTCAAATAATCTGTCAATCAAGCAAGCTGTCAATCAATATTGTGGTTCACATGGTTATTCTGTCAAGCAGCCAGTCACAAGGGCAATAAATCAGTTAACCCCAAATCAATCAATTATTTGTCAATCCGTTGCAAAGTCAGTGAATAATAACCAATCAATAATCTGGTCGTCATTGCATTTTTAGATCCATCAAGTTTGTATGCTGAGTACAATTGTTCTGTCACTCATTGGTATTATTGTCATATTTGTTCATGTTGGTAGTTTTGCAGAGGTAAGAGTAAATGATGATGAATTTGAATCCTCTTTTGAATCTGTCAGTCTGCCTATTTTCTGCTGTATTTCATTGTCTGACTGTCTTTCTATATAGTATTACCAGAAACATATAAGGGACTTGAAACGTGTAACGCCATGCCAACTGTTGGAATATTCAAATCTTATTTGCATCTCATTTCCTTATTTGACCTTATTTGGAACAATTAAATTTACTCTATAGCCAACCAGAACGGGCCATCAATCTCTTATCCAACGGCGGAATTTTCCAAATATGGTCATAAAGTTCGTTTTCGAATTTTTAATGAGCTTTGAATATTCTAAGGGGGTTACACATTTCAAGTCCCTTATAGGTTTCTGGTATTACTCTGTATACCAGTTATATATCCTTCAGTTACAATAGAACAGTTGCAGGGAATCTTGGGGTCATTTAATATATCTTACGTGAAAATTATCTGCCTTCTCCCCCCATGATCAAAAAGCCCTCTTTAAAAAAAGACATCTCTTCAACATATTTGTTTCAGTCAATTCAAACTGAAATTTTGACCAGTCTTATTTATTATGATTTTTTCCCTTTGACTTCATATAAAGAAAAAAGAGATGGTTGATAGTAGACAGTAATCTTCATTCCACAGGGAGCCCATCCTATCATTGGTATTTTTATTCTTGCTTTTATGATTGCTCAACCAATCATGGCTTTCTTTAGACCAGACCCTCAAGCCTATTCGTAAGTACAAATAATTGTCATATTGTCTATTGCATTTTGTTTCACAGTCAATGGAAAATATCCTGCCAAAGTTTGACAGGTCTGCTCTTGTTGTTTTAGCTAAAAGAGATCAATTTGAGCTTTTCGTGACAAAAGTGATTTCAAAAATAATTCTTGGATTGCTGTTTGGTGCAAATTGCAAACTTCATGTTAAGATGAAATTATATATTTGATATTGACAGTATTCAATCCCTTATCTCTGTTATTCCAGGAGGTTTTTGTTCAACTGGATTCATCGTTTGGTTGGTTTCTTTGCTGTCGTCTTTGCAAGTAAGTTGAAAATGTGATGAAACATTGATTGAGTGCATTGTGTATGGCTGCATCTTTTGTAAGCATCATGTCAAAGGTTTTCAAACCAGGAATATTGATACTTGCTCCTGAATCAAATACTCCAGTTTCGAATTCATAGCGAATAACCGCTGCATTATTTGACAACAGATTCTCTTGCGCAAAGACTTTACAAACACAAAAGAGAGCACGAGAAAATGTCGTTATTACAATAGACTTGAAATTTGCATTTTCCCCAAGTTGAGATTATCCCTGTATTCCCATAAGACCTAAGGTATGAGCAGGGTTAGCCTCAACTCGGAGAAAATGTAGATTCTTAGCGCTCTATTGTATTAACAGCATTTTCTCGTGCTTTCTTTTGTGTTTGGTAAGTTCTTTGCGTAATAGCATCTGCTGTCAAATAAAACAGCGGTTATTCGCTTTGAATTCGAAACTGGAGTATTGATGATGATAGTAGTTTAGCTTGATAATGCCTGGTTAGTAATATTTTATTGCTCATAATACTAAATGATTGCTAAGAGTTATCATTCATGCCATCATTTTCAGTTTTAAACTGTTATCTTGGTATAAACATGGTGGATGGTCTCAAGGTGAAGGGAAATGCTACGTTGTCTGTGTTTGTGGTCATCATGGTACTTGTGATTGTGCTCTATGAAGTGTTTCTGTTCCGTAATGCCAAACCAGTACTTTCACCATTCAGTGTTGATAGTGATGGTCAAGACAATGTTCAAATTAACACACCTGCTGACCAAGTGGTCCACGATGAGCCCACAACACCGCAGACAACAACAGAAAAGGTAAAGCTCAATGTGCTTTGTTTCAAAGAGATGATGGTACATTGAACATGTGAGTAAGATCTTTGAGAAAATCAATACATTTTTTGCTGCCAAGCTGTAACAGACATACTGTAGCCAGCACTGCATTATTCAGCCTACAATCTCTTATTCCATCTACTAAAGATAATATACTTGATAATTAATAATAGTAAAAAATAATGATTGTTGAAAGTAGTTTAATTTGCAGCAATTTTTTTCACATTTCCTCAATACTCCATTTTACATATCCCAGTGCCATCTTGAAAGGATGGTGAGTATCAAAGTGAGACAGCATTTGAGCTTGTAATGATAGATACCAGGTGAATAACTGACAGGTGCCAATAAAAGGCATCTACTGAGGCAGGCTCAAGAGACTGTCATGGTTTGATGCAAAGGCTTAGCTACCCTACAAGATATCATTTGAAACTGTGAAATGGAAGTGTTGGCCCCCTACATATGGTGTAAGAAAATATTTAGAACCTCTGCATGAATTTTAGTGTAAAGCACATTCTTCAAGAAGTGAATAATGTAGAAACGGAGTCAGATTTGGTACTAACCGAGTTGGTTTTTTTTTTTTTGTGTGTGTGTGTACAGCGTGATTCAATACTGCGTGACGTGGTCTTCTATTTTGTCCTTACACTGTGTTTGTCATGCTGTCTTGGATTCTTTATTGTGCTTGGAACAGTTGTTTGAGAAAACAGGTGAGTAATTCATGAAACACAAACACAAGATGTGTTTGTCTTTGACAACAGAATAAACAAAATGACTAGTATTAAATTAGTTTGTATTTACTAACTAATAATGTATGTCAAATAAATATATTCTTACCTTTTGTTGCATAGTCCTGACAATGCTGTAGAACAGTGAAAGCTCGACTTCATATAAAGTGTATTTACCATCTGGCCGCATTTGCCATATTATTACTCTCCTACTAATATGCTACGGAATGATACTATTTACTTTAAATTTACAGCAATGTGCAGTTATATTATGATCTGTTTTGCTCATATTTCAAATCAATATATAAAATAGATCAGAAATTATGGGATATTATCACCATTGCAAAAAATTTTCCATAAAGTACTAGTGCTAGGCAACTTCAAAAAAATATTGGCGATGATATCCCATAATAATCTGATATTTTAGATATACTTCGAATATGAGTCAAAATGATCATAATTTCTGCATATTACTCATGATACACTATATTGCCTATGCTCAATGAACAAAACAAAACATAATGTTACAACCTGGACTAAGTATTTCATTAACTGGTACCCTGACTATCAGGAGACATTATACTTTATAAAACTGGCCAATCAGAAAAGAGACAAAAATGAAACTTACAAATCAATTATAGTGTTCTCATAATGAAATTATGGTCTGGAACTGAAAGCTGCAATATGATTGGTCTCTTGTAAATCAATAGTCTCCTTCACGGTTACCTGCAACATCTTGAAATGTAACCGTGCCTTTACATCGAAGCGAGACAACTGTTGAGCGTGCAATGATAGAAACCTTTTTTCACTCCTACAGACAATTATTCACAGGTATCTATCATTGCACGCTCAACGGTCGTCTCGCTTCAATGCAAAGGCACGGCTACCTTTCAAGATGTCGCATGTAACCATGAAGGAGATTATTTCTTAAGTGGTCTCTTGATTGTCCCAGTGTAAGATGATGATGTCAAAGTGATTTGTTATATTTTCAGGTGATGATGAACAGACTTCAATATGTTAGCCAATGAATTATGCAGATGTACAATAGATATACTTTTGGAAAAAAAAATGAAATAAATAATTTGTAATTTAAAAAAATAAAGCAATGAAATAGAAGATCAAAACAAAAAATGACTGACCCCTTGGTCAGCTATCCTTCCAGTGTTAGTTTTATTTGAGTGCTGTAAGTAGACTGAAGTATTCCATAAAGCAAGGCAGTCTACAGCTACCAATTGGCCATTTCAAAATTCAAAAAGGGACTGGTGACTAGTCACATTGGACTATTTTCATACTCCTTAGTCTTCTTTTGAATTTCGTAATGGCCTGCAATAAACAATAGACCTCTGCAGCTATTACGTCATGTACCGTATACGCAATGCATTGTAGGACATGTTTGGGACAAGTAAAAGGTTCAGAAGTCTATTAGTCTCATTATAGGAAAGGAAAACCAGGTGTAATAGACCCACAATTCTCTGTACTACTGTTTCGGTCCTCAACTTTGGTCTTGTCTCATCGGTAAATCTCTTCAGATTACCCTACCAGCAGTGAATTTCTGATTGTAAGTTAGACTTTGCTACTGCGGCAATTATTACTTGGACAAGCAAGTCAGTTTCCTACATGTAACTGTATGAAATAATAATAATAATTATTATTATTATAACGTTGTTAAAGATTGAATTGGTTTCTTCAAAATTGACATTAGACAAATTATAATCCTCTTTCAGACCTCTCTCTCCGTTATGCAACAATCGCGTAAAATAAATCAACAAAAGTAAACAAGATCAACAACGGGCCACAAGAATTTACATCAGATAAGTCTAAAAAATGCAGAATTTGAGAGTCAGCATGTGACACTACTGGTCATTTGGGCAAAAACAGGAAGAGCCGACGGGGTCTTTTCTTCTAAATAACTGTTCTTGTACGAATATTTTCCCTTTGAACTACATTGTTGATAATCTCGGAAGCAAATGTGGCGCCCTTCCCAGTCTTTCAGTTCTTAAAATAAATTTTTCCTGGCAAACGTTTTTAAGGTAAAAAAAGGCTTATATAACGTTTTTATGGTCACAAACGGCTTATATAACGTTATTGTAGACTTTCGCAAATTCCGTTTTTCGCTCGTTTTCCGCTTCGCGCTCAATATTCACCCACTCCTAGGAGTAAAAGAGAGTCCGACTTGGGCAAGTCTACGTTATTGCAATATACCTTTTTTGGTCCTAAGGAATTTTTATTCCTGGCAAACGTTTTATGGTCCCTCGTATTTTTCGTCGACTTCAACGTGTCTTTAGTTTTATGGTCAAAAACGCGGCTTATTTTTTTTTGACATTACTATTTTCCTGGCAAAAATTATTGGAAAGTATTCCTTATATGCCTAGAGAGCCTGAGTCTTTTTTCCTGAATTTCTCGCTGGCAACCAGTTGTGACTTACAGCTGGCTGGGACATAAGAACAGATATATTTCTCCCAGAAACCCGTCGGCTCCTCCTACAAAAATAGCGTCATTTGGGCAAAAAGGGCGTCATTTGGGCGGGCAAACAGGCGTCATTTGGGAAAGAGTGCGTCATTTGGGCAAAACGTGCGTCATTTGGGCAAAAGGGCGTCATTTAGGCAAAAAGGGCGTCATTTAGGCAAGGGTGCGTCATTTGGGCAAAAAGGGCGTCATTTGCGCAACTAGTGCGTCATTTAGGCAAAAGGGCGTCAATGGGGCAAAAAGGCGTCATTGGGAAAGAGTGCGTCATTTGGGCAAAACGTGCGTCATTTGGGCAAAAGGGCGTAATTTAGGCAAAAGGGCGTCATTTGGGCAAAAAGGGTGTCATTTGTTCAAGAGTGCGTCATTTGGGCAAAAAGGGCGTCATTTAGGCAAAAAGAGCGTCATTTGGGCAAGGGTGCGTCATTTGGGCAAAAAGGGCGTCATTTGCGCAACTAGTGCGTGATTTAGGCAAAACGACGTCATTTGGGCAAAAAGTGCGTCATTTACGCAAAAAGGGCGTCATTTGGGCAAGAGTGCGTCATTTGGGCAAAAAGAGCGTCATTTGGGCAAAAAGGGCGTCGTTTAGACAAAAAGGGCGTCATTTAAGCAAGAGTGCGTCATTTGGGCAAAAAGGGCGTCCTTTGCGCAACTAGGGCGTCATTTAGGCAAAAGGGCGTCATTTGGGTAAAATGTGCGTCATTTGGGCAACAGGGCGTCATTTAGGCAAAAGGGCGTCATTTGGGCAAAAAGGGCGTCATTTGGGAAAGAGTGCGTCATTTAGGTAAAAAGGGCGTCATTTGGGCAAGAGTGCGTCATTTGGGCAAAAAGGGCGTCATTTGCGCAACTAGTGCGTCATTTAGGCAAAAGGGCGTCATTTGGGCAAAAAGTGCGTCATTTGGGCAAGAGTGCGTCATTAAGGGCGTTATTTAGGTAAAAAGACGTCATCTGTGCACAACTGGCGCACCGTATTGCACGATCGGTTAGTAACAGTTTATTATATGACGGTGTTAATTGGATAAAAAGTAATTCAAAGATGACGGCCTGAACATAAATTTTAAGGTAGTTTTTCTTCCCTTTCAGTCAATATTGAAATTTCGCCTGGATACCTAATAAAATTAGTGTTACAAAATTATTTCTGCCTCCTCTAAAGTATCAAATTGAATATCGGAATATTTTTACTTAGTTTTAATTCTTGCGTTTAACCCTTTCCCTACGGCCATCGGTATCATCAGTACCACAGGAGTGATGACTCCAAAAATTATAATTTCCCAAAATGGCTAGATGYCTCTGAAAAACTTGCTCTTACAAGACAACAAGACAACAAGTTCAATATTCCAATTAAAAGCATGTCTCGGAAATCAAGTTTTTAGGTCGAATAAGTCTTTTGTCTTGACGTGGATGCTCAATTCCGAATTTTGCACTTCCTGGGACAACAGCGAAAAGCTCACTTTTTTGACTTAATTTGCAACGTGAAATTCATGCTTTTCTAGCACAATATCGACATTTTTGAAGAGCTACATCCTCCTATTCTTGCATTTAGGGATTTTTATTCGGAATAATTCTCTACAGGCAATACAAGAGCCGCACCTTTGACGTCCACCTCGACAAACTAGCATTTCTCGAATGCACGACCCAAGTGCACCCTGGGAATATTGACATCTATGAGACAAGGAATGGCCAGTAATCTTACTTTAGTAATTTTTTTATAAGTGCCAAGTCGCTCGCACCTACAGGCAAAATATTGCATCGACTGCATTCTTTGGATGTTAAAACTTGCCAAATTTACCTTGGTAGGTTCCGAAATCTGCCACAGAATGACTAGGGAAACGACCTTTCTCTAACGACAACAATTCAAAGAGACCTTCGCTTTGTTGCCGTCTTCTTCGAAAAATCGCTTTCCACCTCTGATTTCTTCCAGAAGGCTGTCTTTGCCGCCTAGTCGAGCTTGATGATGCAGTCCTAGGGGCTTCTATGGCAGCAAATGACTTAAAAAATGCACTTATAAACCTTTTTTTGGCGAATTTGAGCTCGAGTGCTGGCTAATCTAGCGAGGTGTCTCAAATTCGCCGTGCGTTATTGAAATTTGCATTTCCTGAGGTATTTGAATTGACATTAGTTTGATTGACAGCGCCTTATTTGGAAGTTAAGCAATTTATGGAAGTCTAACACACAAAAAAACTACAAAATTGACAAATTTATCACCGTAGGAAATGAGTTAAACAAGTTAAGTAATATTCGCAAAAATTCAAAAAATCGCAAGTAATTTCGGGCTTGCCTTCTACCCAAGAGTCTAGACCTGAGAAAAATCGACATATTTACTCTTTACCTCGCGTCCAGGTTCCAATATACACGGTCATACAATAATGTCAATAACACAGATCACTAAGATATACATGTTTCAAAGACTTTATTCGACCACCGTTTGTTTAATTCTCATGATGGTCATAGAATGATATAATAATACTATAATACTTTTTATGGCCTTTCATTATATTTTTTCATTATATTTTCATGGCCAGAAGAACAAGCTCAGCAGTACAGTTCGTTGTGTTTGAAATAATGCAATGTCAAGATATGTTGATAGACAACCTTGGTTCCCGGACCTGTCCAAAACTGAATCATCAGTCAATCACCCAGCCTGGCTAACCAATTATAATGCAAATTCAGCCATCAGTTGCCTTGCCAACCAGTCCAGTCCTTCATGTAAGCCCGACAATGAATGAGCATCACAAGCAACAATATTCCAGCTTCTACCACAGCATAGTTTATGTAGGGACAGTCTCTCGGTCAGTGATTCTACACTCAATGCTGCAGGCAGGTCCTACAAGGTACAATCATGAATCAGCAATGGCTGTAGAAACAGACTCTATCACTACGAAGAGGAATAAACGTTTTTTTTTTGGCAAAATTTGCGTGCAGCAAAAATGCAGTAAAAAAATCCTGCACTATATTGTGAGCAAGAAAAAAAAAGTTGCAGAGAATAATAACCCTCAAAAGTCCAGCAGTCAGCTCCCCTAAGCAATGCTTGACACTGATTACCTGTTTATTAGCCAAAATGAGGAGTAAAGCATCCCGTAGACGTTTCTCTGCCATCAGTTTAGATAATTCATCTTGGGCTTCAGAAAGTCGTTCAACATTGCTACTATCTATGACAAATATAATCGCTGCAATGCAATGGCACCAGATTAGTTCACACACTGATGCTAAATGCATGAGAGTTAACATACTGACACTAGCTTCGACATACATCGGTGGATACAGCAATTAATGAAAGAGGGCCTGTAAAGTCCTGTATCCATTGCTGCCAGAGTTGGGTCAAACTAGGGGGTCTGCGAGAATTTTGAATATTGAAATCCAGAGAAATGTGAATTGCGGCATTTTGAGTGATTTAAGGGGCTGCCCCTTTGACCCACTTTAAATCTACCCCTGCCATGACTTTTTTGCCAATTAAATCTTGAGCCAATGAGAAGACGGATGGCATCTTAGTTTTAAACCCTAGGTTCAATATAGTTTAGCCACACAGAAATTATAATAAACGTAAGCAAACCTTGTGTGTTAAGGTAGTAATGCCTCCACAGTGGCCGTAGTTTCTGCAAACCTCCAACATCCCAGATTGTAAACTTTAGACTCTTGTGTTCAATAGTTTCTACATTAAAACCTTCAAAAACAAAACAAAACAAATGATCAACTTGCATTCATAGTATTTCCTCTGGAAAACAATAATTAGACATCATGGGTGAAGTACCACAATTTAATTAAAATGTAGGCTCTAGTAGCCAGGAGTTCTAGCTGTTTGAGGGAGTTTCTCTTGCCCAACACGGGCAGGCTATCGCAATGTAAAAGCTGCAAATACTATTAGTGGTTTGGACCAAAGAATTTATCATTGCTTTTGTTGGCTATTATCATCTGTAAATTTGATGTGCTGGTTTCAGTGTGCTGACAAACTAGAGGGAATGTTCGTGTCATTGGAAAACTGAATATAGACCTTTGGATTATGATGTCCCAGAATGCTTTCTGAGTCAGTAACAGTGCATGCCCATAATCTGACCAGCACAACACCCCTTGCATTTATGGGAATGCATCTCCATCGGCAGTATTACCGTTAGCTCTCTAGAGAGCAATGGCTCTCAATTACTCCATGGCCCATGATAAAGAAAGTGTGTGTTTTTTTCATTGAGTTTTCAAGTTTTTTCATTAAGCAAGTAAGGGGTGGGCTGCCTGTGAATGTGACAGCTCATCATCAACACTGATGCAATATATTTGATGATTACATAATAATGCAATCAGCCATACCTATGGTAGTTATTGGAGATACAAATTCATCTTGTTTGAGTTTAAATAATATTGATGTCTTCCCAGCTCCATCTAGTCCCAGGGCCACAGCCCTCATCTCCATCTTGGGTCCTATATGAACTCTATTGTCTTTGGTAAATGCCACAGGGATCCCAGCATCTGTGTTGCATAGCTGTGCCATGTCAATGAACTGTTGTTGTTGTTCTTGCACTGTTTCAAGTAGACTGTGGATGTTATTACGTGCTTGGATTACCTGAAAAGACACATCAAATGAAAATGAAAAATGATTTCTCCATATTAAACAAATGTCTTTGGCTTTTCAACTCACCTCTGCATCAGTTCTTTGTAAGGATTTTTCACACTCTAAACACACAGAATTCACTTGAGATATCAACACAGCCATGTCTTCCTGTTGCTGCCTTAATGAAAATAGTTTTTCCCTGACATAATTGTCAACAACAGCAAGACCAGCTTCTTCTTGTCTGTTGACAGTCTCTCTCAAGTCATCAAAGAAAGACCTGACTCTAAACCTTGCGTCTTCTGCTGTTCCCTGCATGTGGTGCTGCATTATTGTCCCTTGATCATCTTCTTGAAGAACCTCACCACCTAATTATGGTAAAGAAATTCAAGAAACATAAGTACAGCTTGAAGATATTTATTATTTTACCACACTTGTGTAAATTGGCTGATTGGTTGATTAGAGTGTGTCAACAAGACGACATGCACACTGCTGACCACATCACGTCTCGCGCACATGCTCAATTGAAAGAAAAGAATGATTTTCGCTAATTTTTAGACTAAAAATGTGGTAAAAAACCAAATTGCACATGATTTTTGGTAGCATGTCCTCTTATTGACAGACTCTTGATGTCATAAAATGTTCAAAACTCAAGTGGACCCACGAGCACAACAAAACTGTGCAAAATTTGTTAATTATAATATTATCTGTGCAACAAAACAATCAATCCTTCCCAGTGACAAAGACAGGAATCCCAAGAATATAGTAAAGATGAGAAGAAAAGAATACAGATGAACACAAATAGAGAATAAGGTCCAACCTTCAATGCTGTCAATGACAGAAGTCAGCTTCTTGGATGCCTCTGTGACTTCAGTAGTAAATGTTCTAACATGCTGAATGGCATTAGTTACTGATGATCTCATATTTTCTGCTTCTGTTTCCAATAGGGCATGCTTGTGATTCTGATGTCTGCAATCATATACAGTACAGGATAATTGGATTCACTGTTAAATACTTAGCACACAAACAAGAAGAACGACAACCCTATTACTTTGATGCAAAATTGAATTATCCATATAAGGTTACTGTAAAACTTTGCTACCGTTTGCAAAATAATCTGTAAGTTAAAAAATTATTTTTGCATCTTTTTTGAAAAGAACATTAAAATATTATATAATCATTATATTAAAGCTCTTTGACTAAACAATAAGTCACCACAATGTTAAACAAATTACTTATTAATAATTATTTAGCTGAAGTCACAATTTTGGCTTTGAGATATCAACTTGACATGCAAACATTTTGCAGTGTAACCAGCTTTTTACATGCGATGTCCTTTAACACACAGTGCTGCACTATGCTGGGGATTTTTTTCAACTCTCTACTTCCCTAATGGTTGCAGTAAAGGGATAAATAATCCTTTGCTCGCAGGATATCTCAGAATGTAATTTAGAGAAGAGTTTTACCTGCCATAATCTTTACACACAAAACACATTAATGAGCTCTCTCTGCAGCTTTCCTCCAAGCAAGTAAACTCTATCACATGTGTAGAATGAAGAGGACATTTTGGTTTTTCCCTTGGTTTCTCTGATAGTGGGATTCTTCTGTGCTTAGTTAATGTTTTAGTCGCGTGAATATTTTCAGAACAAGCTAAGCACAAATCAGTACCGCAAACTGTACAGTATACACTAGCTTTGTGCTCTTCATTTTCATCACAGCGAGCTCGTCCATCAAGCTTTTCTTCTTCAGATGATTTCAGTGGTCCTGACGATACTTGTAACTTTTCTAGTAATTCTATCAGTGCAAAGTTTTTCTTTAGTCCCCATACCCCTGAGTCACTTAGCTCTGTGGCTTGTCTATCAAAGGGACATTGAAGTGTGCGTCCATGTGTAGGGAGTCTGGTAAGACAGTCATGGCATACAGTATGTCCACAGAGAAGAAGTCTTGGTACTTTATCACCATGAAGTTGAAATACATCCTCACAGACACGACACTCAAGGAGCTACATATTAAATAAAAAAGACTGCAATTAAATCACACTAAATGGTTTTATTGTGAAAGAATTTATGTACTTAACACATTATGATAAAAATTAAAGAAGCAATTGTAGATTCAAAAGTACCATACTATTAGTCAAGCAAGTCTTATAAAATGTTGTTGAGATGTTTATACATGTATAATTCATGAAAACAATGACGACTTGGAATTGAGCGAAGAATGCCTATTTTCCTAAAGAAGAATTACCATTGTAGAAGACATAAATTTGTACAAAACTGAATAAACGTGACTATTTTAGCAGCATAAAAAAATAAACAACGGAGCAGCTGTGAGACTCTACACTATAACTTACGTTGGTCTGACGGGTTTTGCATGCCGCTTCTTCAATATTAGTCGCCATTTTCAACACTTTTACACGGTTATATCATCACCAGTCTCTACACCAAACCTTCAGCTCAAAGTGAAGAAAAATGGTTTACAAACAGAGAAGAAATGACGGCCTTTTCACAATTTTAACACAAATGTTCCTTTCTTCTGCTTTATCATAAACAGTGCTTGACGTCATGCAGTATTCGACCACAGGAAGCCCAAACTGAACCAAATAGAATACATGCATCCATGATGTCTCTTTTGTATATACTATAGTGTGTGTTCTGCATCACATCAGRTAGCTTGATGAAAAACTGGATTAAAAATAAATCAGAAAACTTAAAAAATACGTTTTAATTGTGTAGTAGACCGGGTTTTCCAACGGGCTTCCTGTGTTATCAGACATTTTTCATCGCGGGCTCGTATACACCAAAATTCAAAATGGATTCCGGTCTGAGAGAAAGAGAACACTATCTTGCTTTAAAAGGTCGGTTATTTCTAGTGGGATCCTACATTTTATCATCACTCAAGTGATCTGGCTTAATGCATTTGTAAAAGAAATCTTTCTTTGCAAAATGGAAGGAATAGCAGTGACAACTATCAATAAGAAACCAAAGAATACTATTTTCAGTTCAACTCCTTTCACTTAAGATTTAAGATTTTTTTTTGTTCAATATGTACAAACTGTAGCAAGAGAATCTCATCGTGTCCATAACAATTTTCTATATAATCTTTGACAATCTTTTGAAGAAGAAGAAGATCGTTTCTTTTATTCTCTCTTTCTAGAATGTCTTAATTTTGTTTTTGATGTGCGACTAGAGAAAGATGAGCCATAACAATATGATTTTTTATGTTCTTGCAGTGATGCGGTTGACTAAACCATCTGTGTACACCAATGTACCAGTCCACTGCGAGCAGCAAGACCTTCCAGGAACAGTGTTTAAGGACTCGCATGATGCAAACATTGCAACTATCAAGAATGCATACAACTTTGCTCTAGGAGATCTGTTAGTGTTGCCCCAAACGTTTGGGTTAGTAGATGTACAGTTCAGTGACAAGTGTAGCCTAGCTGACTGTCTAGCCAATTTGATGTACAGCTTGTTTATGTCATGAGTAAAGAAAATACACTGTGCAGTTGTTAAGCTTGATTCAATATCCATTGTTTGTTTGTTTTGTTTAGGAATATTTTTCTTGGGGAAACATTTTCAAGTTATGTCAGTGTTCACAATGACAGTAACCAGACAGTGAAAGATATCGTCATCAAGGTAACATAAGAATATTAGTGTTGTACTGATTGATTGGCTAGGTAAGCTGCATCTATTGATTACAACATTTTCTGTTCTCAAGACGGATTTACAGACATCTTCTCAACGACTGACTTTGTCTGGAGCTGCAAATATGCCAGTTACAAAACTAGATCCACAACAGAGCTTTGATCAGGTGATACACCATGAGGTGAAGGAGCTGGGAACTCACATGTATGTATGATTTAAGTGATTGTAGTCTATGTATAGCTGTATTTTAAGCAATATTGTTATGAATGTCATCATCCAACCATTTTTTCTTCAAGACTTGTTTGTGCTGTCAGTTACTCTACAACTGCTGGYGAGAAAATGTATTTTAGAAAGTTTTTCAAATTTCAGGTTAGTTACAGTGTTATGTTTATAGTTCATTCCTTCTGACAGAATAAAGCCTTATGATAKAAAAATGTAATGTTTATGTCATTCTTCCATTTTTATTATTTTTATTTTCATTAAATATGGTGTATAATATATGATGTATGTTTCCTACTTTGCATGTTTAGGTTTTAAAGCCATTAGATGTGAAAACAAAGTTCTACAATGGAGAGGTTTGTGCTCATTTTTGATTTTTTTTCCTGATGCTTGCATTTAAGTAACCATGTTTACATACCCCTCAAATATGAGGGTAGATTGTGAGAATTTGAGACAGTTATGCAAACCCAGGACAAAGTCTAGACATGCTGTAATGCAAACACAAATCAAGACAAGCATAAATTTTTATTGTCTTCTTTGTAGACAGAGTGTTTGCATTACAATAAGATCTCTGCTAAATAAATAGAGGATATTACATTGGTGCACAGAGATACAGATTTTATCTTCAGGTGTTCTATTGATATCTCACGAGTAAGCAAAGCAAAATGAAGCACTCATGTAATGTTCTGTAATATAAATTCAAATATATATCTATAAGGCAAGAAGTAGGACARTTTAGTATGCAGYGTCCATGGTAAMGTGYTATTTCACATGTGGAAAAATATCACTTTTTCGTGCTAGAAATTTTGCCRGTAAGCCGTGCCTCTGTCCTCTGATATAATCACAGTCGTCAGCCAATCAGAGCATGCGTTATATATCAAAAACTCTGATAAATGCAYGCTTGGTATTTGAAACACACAAGAAAATGTCAAGAAGCACTAGCTGAAAGTGAATGAGAAGGGTTTGTCGTACGACTTCCATATATGGTTGTTCATGTACAGCGCTGATGTGCACATAGAAGGCGCTGATGT